AGTGGTACATTCAGATGTATGTGGTCCATTCGAAGAACATACAATTGGTGGAAAGTTGTGGATCTACGTGATCAAACTAAAGGATGAAGTATTCAAAATCTTTAAGAGATTCAAGATACTTGTCGAAAACCAGAGTGAGAAGAAGATCAAAGTTCTGCGAACAAATGGAGGTGGCGAATACACATCCAAGATGTTTGAATATTTCTATGCATAACACGGTGTTTATCATGAGGTAATTGCTCCTTATACACCTCAACATGATGGAATTGCTGAAAGAAGAAACCGAGCCATATTAGATATGACGAGATGCATGCTGAAGCAAAAGAGTTTTCCAAAGTCTTTATGGGGAGAAGTTATTTCAACTATAGTTTATATTTTGAATAGGTGTCCTACTAAGATATTGAAGAACAAGGTTCTTGAAGAAGTGTGGAGTGGCAAACGACCATCAGTAAGTCATTTGAAGGTGTTTGGCTCTATGTGTTACAAGCATGTTCCTGATGCAAGGAGAAGGAAACTTGATGACAAGAGTGAACCTATGATTCTGGTAGGATATCATAAAACTGGTGCATATAGACTATTTAATCCAGTTAATGAGAAGATTGTGTTGAGTTGAGATATTGTGATTAATGAAAATTCTGCATGGGATTGGAATTCTAGCAATTCAATTAACAAGCCATTAATGAACTTTGATTTCGAAGAAGAAACTGATAAAGTAGAGGTCGAAGGAATTATTGAGAATCCAGTAGAATTCAAAGAAGAAGTAGTTACTGGCACTCCCGACACATTCGAAGTTGAAGAGGCTGTGGCTGAAACAAGCCAAAGATCTCAAAGAAATAGAGTTCTTCCAACAAGACTTCATGATTATGAAATGGTGGGTGATGATGAAATCACACCAAATCAAGAATTAGTTCATTTTTCTTTACTTGCAGGTGCTGAACCAATCAACTATAGCGAAACTTTGAAGACTAACAAGTGGAAGTTAGCTATGGTCGAAGAGTTACAGGCAATCGAAAGAAACAACATATGGGAATTATTCGAATTGCCAACACATACAAAAGCTATCAAAGTAAAGTAGGTGTTCAAGTTGAAACACAATGCAGATGGGTCAATAGCAAGACATAAAGCAAGAATAGTAGCTCGAGGTTTTCTTCAAAGAGCAGGACTCGAATACTCTGAAGTATTTTCTCCAGTAGCAAGATTAGAGACTGTTCGACTAGTGGTAGCATTGGCATGCAACCAAGGCTGGTCGACATTCCATTTAGATGTGAAATCAACAAAGAAGTTTATGTCACACAACCTCCTGGGTTTGTGATTCAGAAGGAAGCGAGTAAAGTATATAGATTGCACAAAGCGCTCTATGGCCTCAAGCAGACACCTAGGGCATGGAACAAGAAGATCGACTCATACTTAGTCGAATTGGGATTTGTCAAATGCAAATCAGAGTATGATGTCTATGTTCAGGTTGTAGCACAAGATATAACAATCATCTGCTTGTTTGTTGATGACTTGCTAGTAACTGGAAATAGTTTGGAGAACTTGTCGAAGTTCAAAGAGCTGATGACGAAGGAATTTGAAATGTCGGATCTAGGAAAATTGTCTTATTTTCTAGGCATGGAATTTCAAATGTCGAAGCAAGGTATGATGCTACATCAAAGAAAGTATGTCAAAGAGATACTCAAGAGATTCATAATGGATGATTCGAATCCTGCATCCTCACCTGTCGAACCAAATGTGAAGTTGGAGAAGAATGGAGAGGAAGACAAAGTCGATGAAACTTTGTTCACGCAAATTATGGGATCTCTGAGGTATGTGTGCAACAGTCGACCTGATATAGGTTTCACAGTCGGATTAGTAAGCAGATATACGGGTGAACCAAGAGTGTCACATATGAAGGCTGCAAGAAGAATCCTGAGATATTTGAAAGGTTCAATAAATTGTGGAATATTATTTCGACGAGATTCTGAAGGCAAAGAAGCAATAGTTAATTGTTTTTCAGATGCTGATTAGTGTGGAGATAAGGAAGATCGAAGAAGCACAACTTGATATTTCTTTCAAGTATTTGGTGCCCTAATCTCATGGTGTTCGAAGAAGCAACCTGTGGTGGCATTGTCATTGTGTGAAGCTGAATATATAGCAGGATTCTATGTTGCATGTCAAGCAATTTGGATCAGATCTGTACTTGAAGAAATGACTGTCAAAGTGAAGAAACCTCTAGTATTACAAATTGACAACAATTCAGCCATAAATCTGGCGAAGAATCCAGTTCTGCATGGAAGAAGTAAACATATTGAAGCAAGGTTTCACTTCTTGAGGGAAAAAGTAAATCAACGTGAACTTGAAGTTAGGCATTGCTCAAGTGAAGCACAGTTGGCCGACATTTTCACCAAAGGATTGAAGATCGACAAATTCCTGAATTTGAGAAAGAAATTAGGAATAATTCAGATTGACTATTTTTGAGGATGTCCGACAACTTGGATTATGGGGGTGTGTTGAAATATTAAATTAGATTAAATTAGGTTTGATTAGATTTAATATTTAAATATAATCCAAGTTGTGTTAGCCCAAACTCAATTAGGATTGTATATAAATAGTCATAGTGTGTATCATTATTTGTACAATTTAATAATACTAATCCTTATTTTCTTTATTATTCCGTCTTTCTCTCCTCACTAGAAGTGCCTCACGCACTAACATTAATCAACTTGTTCAAATACGGTGAGGAGGATGTTGGTAGAGAAGAATAGTCTTTGGTATAAAATTCTTAAGTATAAATACGGCGAGGAGAGTGGGAAAATTAACGTTGGAGGCAGATTTGCTTCCACTTGGCTTAAGGATATTAGGAAAGTGGAAATAAGAGGTATGAGAGATAACTGTAACTGGTTTGTGGTTTGAGAATAGTGTATCTAGAAAGTTGGAGGGGGTGAGGACACTCTTTTTTGGCATGACTGTTGGATTTGAGGGCCTCTAAAAATGAGGTTTGAGCGTTTATTCTCGTTATCTTTAGACAAAGCGCTGCAATCTCAGACATGAAAAGAGGGAATGACGGTAACTGATTATTCAGGTGGAGAAGAGAGCTTTTCTCTTGGGAGTCTCACCTGTATCAAAATTTATTAGGGGAGATCAGATCTATTGTTTTTAGGACAAGTAGTAATGATGGCATCATATAGACTGTAGATCATCTAATTGCTATTCAGTAAAGTCTGTCTATACTGTTCTATCAGTCTGCGACGAGGAAAATAAGGTTCTATTTGATAAGGTGTGGAATAAATTCACTCCATTAAATGTGATTGTCTTTCTGTGGCAATCTATCCAAGATTGAATTCCGACAAAAGAAAACATTGGAAAAAGAGGCATTTTAAGCCATGTAGATACGCTTTGTATAGGTGGTTGTGAAGCGATAGAATCGACTTCTCATTTGCTTTTTGAATGCCCGGTTGCATTCACTGTTTGGACAGAGATTGTCAAATGGTTGGGAATAACCACCGTCCTTCATAATCATATTTGTACCAACTTCCTCATGGCTTTTTCCGGTATCTTGTAGGAAAAGAAATATCATGAACTCTGTCTTAGCACTGTCTGAGCGTCCAGCATTTGGAGCATTTAGAAGGCTAGAAGTGCCAATATTTTTCGAAACAAACCATTATCGTGTGCATCAATCGTGGAGGAAATTAAGCTGTCGTCCTAGAACTGGCTGAGAGTTAAAGCAAGAGGTTTTAAACATGCCATGTGGGTGGATTTTAGTTTTGGAGTTTGTTTGTTTTTTTTTTTTTTAGTAGGAGCTACTTGGGGTTTTAGTCTGTTGGCTTTTCAACAATATGTGTACTCTTTTTGTGGCATCTCTTGTGCCTCCTCTTAATATTATTGTTTATTTGCCTTTTCAAAAAAATAAAATAAATCATTTGTTCAAATATAATTATTGTTGTTATAGTATTTCAAAAACTAAAAATACATTAATAATAAACATTATTTTATCATTCTAAACAAAATCTTTTTTTCAAAAAATATTTAAAATTTCTTTATATTTTAAAAAAAAAACTATTTTTAGAAATTCTTCCTTCCTCTCCCCTCCAAACTCCCAAACATAACCTTAAAAGGTGAGTAAGAACTCTAATACTGAACGAAGGACACATCAAAACTTGTATAATTCATGCATTGGGTGGCTAAGGCTTCCATAAAGGACACGAAACGAATAAATGGTAACAAAATTGCAAGGATAAATAAGAGAAGACAGACATTTGTTCCAAGTTGAACAAGTGAAAAGAGGCTAACAGTAAATGATAGAATAATTTTCAGAGAAAATGCAGCATGAAAACCCTTCAGAGCCATATTAATCAAACAAGAATGTAGCAATATCTTACACACTGGACTACTGGGGATAATTATATTGGGCTTGTAAGCAGCAGCCCATGGTCAAAAGGTGTTTATGAAACTTTCGAGCAGGCATGCTCATGGGTCGCCTGACCCTGATTGGCGCCTGGGTCACCCGTCCCGAACCTATGCCCATGATTCATCTATTAATTCACTTGTGGCCTATGAGGTGTCTAGGGGAAGTCGATTTGAGTCTCAGCGATAATGGACGAAATCATCCCCCAATAATAGAGGGAAACCCGGTCTCCTCCTACTCCAACATACTTGCTGGGAAAGTATGAGAAAGCCGCTTTTCCCCTAGGATCTAGCCCAAGAATTCAGCTATTAAGATTATTGCTCCAAGGATTAAAAGATCATTTTACTAATTCTGCAAAATCCAGCATACAAGTCTCTTGCAACCAAATACGTGAGTAGACTCTCCCAAAATTGTTGTGTTTTCCTATAAGGGAGGAAGAAACGGAGATACTAAGGCTGGCTAGTAATAGCAGTTTCATATAGATCATCAACAGTCATAAATTCTCAAATTCATAATAGCCCAAATGGTTCAATGCTATCGGGAAGGTACATAAATAAGAATGCAATAAAGGAATATTTACACAATTTACAAGTGTAGAGTTTTTTAATACTTGACATTATGTGCAATATCCAAAGGTTTTCTCAGTGCTATAATACATGTAAAGAAACCCATCCTCATCCTTGAACGATCTATAAACAGAGTCCATCACACTAGCTGCAAAAACAATCACAAACACAACATACTGAAACAATAACAAAACAAAAAAGGAAGAAAACATTAGAATAAGATTAGGAATCATAGTGCAAGTTTATTACCAGTTTGAGGCAAAGTATTGTTGACAAATACAAAAAGAGCTTTTCCAGCAGGTAAACTGAGTCTGGAACTCAAAATATGAATGAAATGCCCAACAGAAAGGTCTCTTGGAACAAGATATCTATCACAAATATAACAAATTCTAAAATTAATAACACAATTTCCTGCATTTACCGAATCAAATGTAATCATGTTGCCCTAATTTTTATTTATACAGCTATAGTGATTTTAATCTTACTTTTTCTTCTCCAAATCAGGTAGATCGCATTTCGAATACCTTTCCACAATCACCTGAAGAAGAAGATGATTATTATTATTATTATTATTATTATCAACACAGCAAAATTGAATTTTGGGGAAAACTAAAATCCATGATTATTTATGAGGAAAGGGAGTTACGGGGATTCTATCTGGGAATTTGGCGATAATATCACGCGAATCTTCAAGCCTTTGTTCTGCAGAAACCAAAACGAGTTTTAAAACTGATGATTAAATTGGAGAATTTAAAAAAAATTAAGAATTGAACGAACCGAAAGTATACTCATCCTGGAAACAAGAGGTTCTTCCCATTTTAGAAATTTCTTCTTCAAAACTCAGTTCAGTTCTATTAATAGATCACGTATTTGGTTAAGATAAAAAAAAAAAAACTTTATTATGATGATGATTATTGTAGATAAGCACAACCTTGAAATTGACTGTTGTTATATCAAATTTGTTGAGGCAACTAACAGAAGCGGGGATAGCTCAGTTGGGAGAGCGTCAGACTGAAGATCTGAAGGTCGCGTGTTCGATCCACGCTCACCGCAGTTTTTTTTCCACGTTTTGGGCTTGCATGGTAACGTGCGGGAAACAGTTTTGCCTTATTTATCAACATCACTTTCATCTCTGGCAAGAGCCCAGACACGTGCTTTCTTTTGTTTAAGTGATATTTGTTCTATTTTAGGTTTTAACATCTTATGTGATATATGGCGTCTTTTTTTCACATCCTCTTTGCATGACCATAACTATTAAGTTAATTGGATTGCATGCTAAGAGTGAAATAAGAAATTGTTTAGTTTACTTTCTTGCTTAAGTTGATATTCAATTTCATACAAAAGTTAGATGTAGCCATTCTAACAATGATGCTGAATTATTAATACATTCTTTCTATCAAAGTAAAGATATTACACCAGTCCTCTTGCGTTGAAACACCTCAAAAAATGGAATTGTTGGACATAAACATCAACGTATCCTAACTATTGCTCATGGTCTATCATTTCAATCTAATCTTCCCTTTGTTTTTTAGAATCATGATGTAACTCATGTTTTTATCATGAACTTACACTTAAATATTACACTTAAATTTCGAGGGATCTAACAAATTGAGTTTTAAAAACCGAGTTCTTCACATTCATTTTACAAGTATGTCTATAGAAGGACAATAAATAGGAGTATGTAAATAATATTTGCACAATTTACCCAATACAAAGAAAAGAGCCCGCCCTAGATCTTGGTCATTTAGTTTATGGACACATCCATACATGACCTATCAAGTCTTATTAGTTGCAAATCGATGAAACCTTAACTTGTCCCAAACTCCAATGATTCCCATCTGAAGGGACGGAACATGTATAGAACTTCAGGTGAGCTTTTGAACAGGAGAGCCACACAAACACAAACTGCTGCTATGGCCACCATAGAGAGCATTGCAGGTCTGTATACCATAGACCTCCCCACTGCAGTTCTACAAGAAATTTTAGTTTCACAAAGTTTACAGTGCCCTTGGCCACGTTTTACTTCAGTTATTCCAATCTCAAATCCAGTGAGAGACTCCATTTGCTTCTGCTTCTGGTTTGTATTGCACTCTGTCTGATCGCTAGGAATCTCAACTACCACATGAGCTGCTCCTTGTCTCTTGTTAATTTTTTTCTGCACCAAGTGAATGTAAGTATAATGGCCACGCAATCGTGCATAATCCTCAGGTGTGGAGCCTGTACTGTCACGGGCATTCTTCCATGTGTCAATTCCCACCTGCATTGAAAAACCCGTTAGCAATGCAGCGCTATGGAATACATGATGTACTATATTTCCAAAAGGACACAATTAGGGGGGGATGGGTTTGAGGGGTTAATCATTCTGCTCAATTCACACAAGACACGGCACTCTATCAAACATGAGAAGTAAGACAATTTAGGTCATCAAAATAGTTTGGCAAGTCATCCAGCAATACGATTGGTAGTCTCCATTAACTAAACCCAATAAAAATTTAAAACGATTCAAATGTCCCTGGCAGTAGATAATTGTGACAATAATTTAAGTAATTGAAGTTGGACAAATTATAAGCAGGATTCAGATATGATAACCCACAGAATAAACCAGAGTTAAATGCAGCTTTGTAAATATAAAAAAGAAAGAGCTAGATGCAGTGAAGGTCCAAATAAAACCCACAAGAAAATCTCCAACACATTCTTATAGTGATATAAGTTACGGTGGAAGAAATTTTACCATGCTAGGATCATTAGTAAGAGCATCCAGTACATCCTCAGAATCATCTTTTCCTGCTGCTATATGGAGTGGTGTCAAACCAGCAGGACCAACAGCATTAGGTCTAAACAAGAAGCTAAGAGACTCCGCATCACCTAGTGCCTTGACTTCGGGTCTTAGTTCATCAGATGTATTTTTAGGAACATATGTCAAAAGCAACTCAACTAACTGCTTGCTATTTCTCCTTACGGCTCTGTGAAGGAGGCCCATCTCTGTAAGTGCTTGATACAGGGTAGGGTGATCTCCTTTGTTCACAGTTTCATCAAGCAGTATATTCAACAGTTTTTTTACCACTGCACACCAATCACGGTCCATGGAAAACTCCATAAGCCACGTGAACCGTTCTAATGGAAAGAGATCCACATCAGAGTTCAAGTGAACCATCCTATATTTCAATTGACTTCTGTGAAGAAGCCAGCCCATTTCATGAATGAAATCCATAGCTTGACTTTTGGCTTTAATTTTTTCAGTCCCTTCAATATCTGGATCAGTTTCACTTAGTTCTAGTAAAGGCTCAAGCACACAAATCTCTGAGCAAACATCCTCCTCTGCCACTATGAAAGGAAAGAAGCTGCTACTCAAACCCTGGTCCTCAATCTAACAAATCAAAAAGTGAAATAGAAAGTTTAGGCTCAGCCACATAGAATTGGGGCAGGAGTGGTTATCTTCCGTAAAAAATATGACCCTGGAAAATGGATGCATTCAAGTTTAAAGACAACTTAGAAGTTAGGATATCACTGACACTCAACAGTAATCAACGTGAGTGAAAGTGTGCCATAAAAGTTTAAAATGGGTAAAAGAGGAAACTATCCCCTCGCTTAGTAACAACTAGCTTGTATTCCCTGCCTACTTTTTCGCTGTAGATAATTTGTGAGAGTGAAGAAAAAGCACCTCAATAAATCCTCTTCCATTCGTAACAGGGACCGAACATGAAAATTGAATACACTGAAGTTCATCAAGCTCCTTGGAGTATTGATCTATTGACTCATGAGCATCTTCACACACCAGATAGTTTCCTTCTAAAGCACACATCAACCTAAGGACAAGTTTAAGGGTCATATAAACGCCACTCCAACAAAAAATACATATATTTAAACAAAATCCTGGAACTCAGAGAGTAGGTCCAAGTAACTTTAAAAGTTACCATTTAATTTAACTACCAACATGCAAAGGATTGACAAGTCAAAAGCAACAGAGACTACCTTGTGGCAGGGCGCATTAGGTTGACACCTTTAACAGAAAATTGAGTTCTCTTTGATGCTGGTACAGCAATCGGACTAACAGTACAAATCTTACTATAATTGTTGCTTCTAAAAGGTAGTGATGTATCTATTACAACTTGACCTGCACCATAAAAATAGAAGTAAGAATCCTAGTCATATAAATGAATTTTTTACTCGTGTTAATTTGACCTCTAAGGACTATAACAGAGACATGATAAGAGACCATTGGAAATGAATGCCATTTGATGCTGCACCCTGAAATGAACCCATCCAGTTCTCCAAAATGTATCATCTGAGACATCCAGCAGCTTACTCAAACTGGAAGTCAGATCACAGCACAGCTGCAAAAAAGTAATCAAGTTATCTAAGGTGAGGACTGTTACATGTTAGCAGAAATAACTGCCAACGTATACAAGTTAAAAGTCTTAGAAGGAAAAAAACTTACATCGTCCCACACAGCCTCAGCCTGACGTAGATAAATAGTCAAAACAATACACCCAGGCCGTATGTAGCTCTCAATATCGGTAGGACTGTGGGATAACCAATCAAGAATCTGCCAATTGAAACCCTCAGTATGATTAAATTTCAAAAGAATAAAATGAGAAGTTACTTTTAGCTGCTGTAGAAAGCTTAAAGTACCTGTGCTCTAAGTACAAGAGGAAACTCATTTGGCTCTTTACCAAAGAGTTTAAAAACAATCCGATCTGTCCGACTCTGAATGGAAGAAACAAAAACTAACAGTTAAATGATGGTAGTCTCAAATGCTTGATTTATATAAATTTAATGTGAAAAGCATTGTTCAACAGCCAATTCTTGTTGATTTATTCTGGAATACTTTCCACTAAATATCCTATTTTATTTACATATTTGGCAGGCGGTTTGAGTTTGATCAAAACACTAAAATGAGCAAGTGCAGGAATTTCACAACAATAAAAGAAGGCATAGAGCAAGCAGTTGAGAAGAAAGCATAGGAGTCATGCAAACAAATCAGTCAAAGGCCCTGAGTCATGTTCTTGTTACAGTCACGACATCAAGGGAGCGCCACAAAAACATGTAAGGCATCACTACTACACTTGTAGGTTCAAGAACCAACCAACATCACATATTGCCTTAATAAAGCATCCTTATTTCTATAAATTAAGTCAAATAATCTTAATCACGGGGACATGCTCACTTTCATTTGAGTGCAAAGATAATAGGAAAAGCATGAGTAAGATAGCCAATTTAGAATAATGCAGCAAAAAAAAAAAAAACACACACACATGAGCTTCTCCACTAGAACTAGAAGGGGACTGGGCAGATGCAGAATCTGAGTTTCCACTTGTTTGAGGTGGACTTGACTGATGAGAATCTAGTTGTGTCCATGGGTAATCAACAGAGCTAGTGCCAATATTTGTAGAGACTGGCAATATTTGTAGATCTTCCATGCCATCATCTGAGTCAATGTATATGTCATTCAAATCAAAATTATTCATCTTTATTTGTGCACTACTATCTCTAACTTCTGAGTAAATCGGAGGACTGTTTGAAATGCTGGGCTTTATTGAAGATACGAGTTGATGATCAACGGTCCTAACATCATGAGTATGCATCATTTCTTGTTGCATTTTATTCATAGATACAGTTTGGTTTTGTGCTATAACAGTTGGAGAGCCTTGAGAACCATTGGAGAATAAAGCTGACACCATCTCTGACTTCCTAGAAGAATCTCCTTCTCTCAACACAATCTCTTGTTCCTGCAAAAGGTTTGACAAGTTCTTGCACCCCTGCTCATCATTCTGACTAGCAAGACTCCTTAGAAGATGAGTTAGAAGATCCTGATCTGTAGGCTGATCTGACCTGTCAGCTGTAATTAATTTAAAATGTCAATATATATCCCAAAACCTCAGTCATAACATAAATAGCTATCAGAGGAAGAGAAGATGTGAGAATATTCTTACTAAGCAAATATTGATATCATCATTCGATCCCAAATGTCATTCTAACCATATGATGCAATAAATAAATGGCTCACTGTTATAAAAATAATCAGTCTCATAAAGCATAAGTTTGCCACATCACACAAGATTGACACATACAAGTGAAATTTTTACAATTCCTAAAAATTGATTGCATGTCAATTGCTGAAACATGTGTATTAATCTCAAACGGAAGAGGCTCACATCATAATAAAGTGTTAAGAGTCTCACATCGGACAATATATGGCTTGAACATGTGCTTATAAGTGGGAGCAATCCTCACTCTACAAGCCAATTTTGTAGAGTTGAGTTAGGCCCAACCATATTTCTTAAGATGGTATCAGAGCCCGGTTTAAGATCCGTTAGGCCACCTACCATTTAGTTCCACACTCCAGACGTTCAATCCTAAGCGTGAGAGGGGGGTGTTAAGAGTCCCACATTGGACGATATATGGCCTGAACATGTGCTTATAAGTAGGGGCATTCCTCACTCTACAAGCCGGTTTTATAGGGTTGAGTTAGGTTCAACCACATTTCTTAAGATAAAGAGATGATGATAACTAATGTTAGTTTTTAGGAGTCCCGCATTAGACGAGATAAAGCCTTAATATATGTTTATAAATGGAGTCAGTCTTCACCCTACAGGTTGGTTTTGTAGAGCTTAGGCCCAACTCAAATTTTAAGATAATATTCGACTTTATCTAAAATCTATTGGACCACCTACTATCAGGCTACTATTATCAGTTCACTTGTGTTACGCGCCAAATTTCCAGTCTAAGGCATGAGGGGTGGTCTTTAGAATCTCACATTGAATGAGACCTTTATAAGTGAGCATTTTCCTTGCCCTCTTCTAAACATTTTATTTCAAGCCTTTTCCTCTTGGAGACTAAAATATTATATGATATAAACCATTCTAGGCATCCTATTTTATAATTCTTTAGAACCGACAATAGAAAAAGGGATGGACAAAAATTGAAACTAACTCTTTTGTGCACATCCTGTTTTCCACTTGACACACTATTTTTCATAGAAATCAAGTGAACAGCTTAAACCAAATTCTTCAACATGATATGAAATAGACACTCGAAGAAGAAGATAATTTCTTCCATGCATCTTTCTGCAGAAATAATGTGTTGGCCTAGTTTGAACTAATAATTGGTTCTGTGTGAAAAAACATACAAACGAGTACATGTACAGGTGTAAATTAATGCCATGACTGTCCTTATTTCAAACCAATTCTTCTGGGCTCTAGTTACAAAGATAATGATTTAAAGCTATCAAGAAATACTTACAATGCATATTTGAAAGTATCTTCAATAAACTTATCAAGAGATAATTACTGGTCTGATCATCATTTGTCGGACTTCCATTAAGAATAACTTCATTATTTGTTTTCCTTCTCCGTTTATTATGGCCAGCCAAGCGTCTCCGACAGCTTCGCTTTCCTTCATCAAACTCTTGAAGTAAGTGAAACCTATTTATGGAGTAAAAGAATGTTATGCAATAGTGTTTTTCACATCAAACGCTTAACTATCAGATATTGTTTTCATTTTCATCTATCTGTTACACTTGGGAATTGTAATTTAACTAATAGCAACAGTATTTACTTCTTTTACACAAATAATTATCAACCAAAGCAAAAATAGAAAGCAATCAATAAGAAACAAATTACCTACTACACTGTTGACAAAACCTCTGCATTGCATTCCCCACAAGTGCCCTAGTAGCCTTAGAATGCATCTCACAAACTTTATGACGTCTGTGATAATCCTTACCTCTGCTCAGATCTGCACCACAGTCTTTAACCTGACAAACAGCTCGATTCGAAGCACCTCCAGCTACTTTGCTTTTCTTTCCATTCACACCATCCCAGCTCGCAATCTCCCTTTCCACCACCGGTGAAGCATGTCCAGCAAGCTGTAAACTAAGGGCACCAGCTTCCTCATTCAAACCATCATCTTCCAGAACAGTAACTCTCCTTTTCCTCTCCCCTTCCTTGTTCCTTTTAGGATTCTCAAGATCTCCTTCCTCAGAGCATGAAGAAGAGGTGTTAGAGGAACCCCCGACCACCGAGATCCCAAACCCAAGCGGGAAAAACTGTTGTCCATGTCCCACTCTCAGACTATCCGCTGGCACCGGATTCACACGGCTAGCTATGAACAAATCACCATCCCATCTCCAATCATTCAAATTCCATTCTCTAGTCCTCTTCCCCATACTACTCAAATCAGACGAACCACCACCAACACCATAAAAATTATAACCCTCAGCACCCAATCTAGCCTCCATAATCACAATTCACAACTAAAAACTCTCAATCTTAACTCTTAACCTAATTATTACTCCTAATCATAAATAATCAACCCTAAGTTTAGTTGAAAGTACAAAATCAATTAATTCAACAACACAAATCAAAGTCACCAAGCTTGAATTCATCCCCAACAATCCAAAAACAGCACACGCACGCAACCATGGTTCCAATTAAGAGCAATCCACATAATCAAGTACAACCATACAAACAACTAATCATCAACTCTTCCGATTTCTCAAATCAAATACCAAGCTGAGCTCAAAGTAGTGCTGAGAAAAAACCTCTTCCTTCCTATATTCAAAAAGAACAATTAAAAAAAAGATTAAGATAAAATTGAACAACATATTGATGAAAACGTAAAGTCTCATACTGAGCAAGATGTACGTCAGAGAGATAAAACTAGAAGCAAGCAGATCGGCGGCGAGTGAATGTCAAAAATTCCGGCACGTAAACGGCCAACAGGTTCTGTGGACGGAAACGGCGTTATTGTTGATGATGATGATGACCACGACGAATTAGTACGTTTCAAATGTTAGTTTATTTTTATGTTCGTTTAGGGAGAAAGAAATAACGGTGTGATGGTATATTCTGTTATAGAGCACTACTTACACAAAAGATAGGTACACAAACTAAAAGAAATATAAAAAAATTTAGAACAATATTTTAATTAAGAAATTTAAATGGTAGGAAATTGTCCTGTACTTATGTTAAACCAATTCAGATAAATCAATTAAGTTGTTAGTTGTGTAGAGGTATCTGCTATAAGAATGTTTAGTTAAATCAATTTAATTGTTAGTTGTGTAAAGATATTTGTTGTAAGAGCGTTCAGTTAAATCAGTTCGATTGTTAATTGTGCAGAGATATTTGTTGTAGGAGCGTTCAGTTAAACGAGTTCTAGTATTAATTGTGCAGACATATCTGTTGTAGGAATGTTCAGTTAAATCAGTTCAATTGTTAGTTGTAGAGCGTTTAGTTAAATCATTTAAATTGTTAGTTGTGCAGAGATGTTTGTTGTAAGAGCGTTCACTTAAAACAGTTCAATTGTCACTTGTAGAGAGACATATGTTGTAAGAGATTTCAGTTAAACCAATTCAATTATTAGTTATGCAGAGATATATGCGTCAGAAGTGCGAGTTCAGATACGAGACATTTCACTTAGGGTTAAGGGTTGGGAATAGTACACCCCACCAGATTGAGAGCAGTGGGGCAGTAGAACACACTGTGTGTCTGTAGAACTTTAACCTTATGGGATGAGGACCAAAATAAAGATGTCATTTGTTGGCGTAGATCCACACATTGCTCAAACTTATACTACAAATTCTCTGTATCTTAGGTTAGATTACACACACCGCATTTTCGTTAAGTAAACGTCACATTCCTCCACTTCTTTCTTTGCTCTGTTTTTTTTCCCTATCATCACATGCATATTGCCAACTCCAACCCAATCGCGTGTGACCACAACACGAAACTCTCTTTTACTCTCATTATTAAATTGATTGTATATCATATGATGACACTTTTTCATCACAGGCTCTGTAATGTGATTTTTTTAGGCTATTAGAATTGGATTAGGCGACATATAAATCTTAGTTATTGAGATTCATGTTTTCCTAATACTACTTTAATAAAGTTTCTCTTTCTTCATTGTATCATTATTAACAATCTTTCACATGCTTTGATACTACTTACTACTTACCGTCCAATGCTCTTTGACACTATTTTTACATTACTGAGAGTCAACATCTATGTGGTTTTGGTCATCGATTATGGCCATGAGATATGTGTTTAAGAGGCGAAAATATCGCTAACTGATTAGAAATTAACACAAACTAGTTTAATAAAGAAAAAGTGAACATTCGTGTAACCTTTAAATATGTACGCAACACATTATTACATAAAAACCACACAATGACGGTTAAAAAATGGAGACCACAATGTTTGACCAATCATTATAAGGTAAGGAGTGGTTGTATGTATGACACGTATAACCACGGTTGCGCAACTGTGATGGAAGTTAGATAGCGCTCGGCATACCATAACGGTTGTAACGTAGAACCGTTGTGATATATATTTAGGTCATGAGTTTGAAACCCAACAGTAGCAATTTATTTGTAATATTGTTAACATTTCACCATGGCTAGAGATGATAATCGTTGTAGAAAGTACCATGAGTTTATTATAAAATATATAGATTAATTGTTTTTCCCTATACCTCACTAAACATATACAAACATTAAAATTATTATAACAGATAATAATTTGAAAAATTAAGTTATTCTTGAAAAACAATTTAGATGAACCATTGTCTTTCAAATTGCATTCAAACTGTAATTCATCTCTTGCTGCTTAACACATAGTATTTGGTTCAATGATCCAGCGGTGCATTCCTAGTTTATTTTGCAAAGCATCAATATGTTAACTATTTTAGAATCGTTATCACTGTTATCATCATCATTATTTTAATCGATGATGATGATTATTATGATGACAACGATGAACATGATTTGGAATATCTCAACAAATTTGATAATTTGCAAAATAAATTAATAGAGAACGAACTATCACTTTGAAGAATTTGAGGCAATAAACCAAATTCTACGTGTTAAAGTGTGATAGATGAATTACGAAATACATGTAATTCGAAAAACATTGAATGATTTAAGTTGAATTTTAAATATAACTTAATTTTTAAATTATTATTTTCTAATCACTTTAAATAAATGCATCTTCAATGAAGGGTGAGTGAAAATATTGTTGTTACTATGTTAAAAATCGAAATATTTGTTTGCAAGTCTTTTATTTTATACTGTTTGTTTTTTTAGTTGCAAGAGAAAGAAGTTAAACACAAAACTAAAGGTGATTTTCAAGACACACAAAATGATACAGTAAATTACAACATTTTTACTGAGATCTTACTTTTATAATCTCCTGTGTTGTTTTTATTTTTAATGTTAAACATGTGTAATAAATAATTGTGTTGTTGAATGTAGAAATTTGGACAACACTATGTCGTACTTTGAAGTAAAGATGATTATAAAACACAATGACGGTTGAAGATGTTGATTCACGGAAACTGAGATGGCGGGTGGTAAACATGAAGATGTTCTCATACTGGTAATCATCACTTCAAAAACGTATTACAATATATATGTACATAATGGATTGGTTTATTTGAGCTTATTTCCATGTCTCACAAACATGAACTTTGTATTGTAGATGATGTTTGGTTAACTTAACATCTACTATGAAATCGAAAATGAAGATTACTATACTTGAGTCATTTATGTTGCTTAACATAATGAGTTACGTATTCACATGTGCAAAGAAGTCTTACGAAGTTGTTTTCTCGGTTCTGCGTGATATCCTTGCTGCAAAAAATATCCTTGCTAGAAATGCAATCAATTTCTATAAGATTAACTTTTCTAACAATGTTGTTAGTTCACATAATATTTTACCCCTAAATGTGCAAGCAAGATGATGCTTTTGAACAAACAGCCTCAACTGATGATAGTTCCTTCACCATGACTAGTCTATTGGAGCAGTTAAATACAACAAGACTTATCTGCAGGTGGGTAGAAGTTTTATCTCACCCCGATCGGCACATCACTCATGAAATCTGCAGCATTTGGGTATCATACTTGTCTCAGAGTTAGTATGTTGCTAATTATTTTTTAACCTGTTCATCATTTCTTATATATAATTTGAAAAATCTGAGAACACAGTTATATTTCGCAGCTGAATATTTTGAACTTTCGTATACCAATGATGACCAAAAACATATGTGAGTTGCTATGCTAAAGCCGGTATATATTTATGCCTAATTGTTAATGCTGTCATATTCTCTATACCTTTGGTTTCTCATTCTATCTTGTGTTTCCATAGTGGTAGAAACACTAAAGATCTGCTCGACATAGTATATGTTTTTTTAGTTCTTGTCTTTTGTATTTAGTAGATGTAAGTTGTTTTGCCAAGTTTTGATTGATATTGCCATGACATCCATATTCCTGCTATCAACAATATTGACAACAACAACATTCATCACATTTTCGGTAAGATTATAATCTTCATGGAAAATTCTGTTGATTTCGCAGTTTCTAAATACAAACAACTTGATATCATGTATAGAGAGAACTCAGGTAATATTGTAATTGAAATTGCAATTGAAGGTTCATTTCTCAGTGTCCTGATGTCAAGTATGTGACGTCAAATTTGTGAGTTAGTCTTGGAGATGTTAATCAACTGAAAGTTTTGTGTTTGCAGTAATTATATGACCAACTTCTAGGCTTCCAGATTTGAAAATTAGAGGTGAGAAGCAAGAAAAACAAAAGTGACAAGAAAATTAAGATTGTATTTTGATAGTCTCTGGTTTCAACTTTTCCATGTTTATGCTTTTATAATTTATCATGTGTTGTTCTAACTTTCCTTTTTTGAATGTATAGGAAGAAGCTTATATTAAGTCAAGGCTGCAAAAAGGAAAGTTGAATATGAAAAATTTATGAATGCTTATAATAACAAAGTAAGCATATCTCCTGCTTTTAGTTTTTCTGGTTCCTTTGATTGTATTCTTTATGAAAAATTTGAAGTCCAAATCTTAAGAGAGTATTGTACTGCTACTATTTTTTCAGCTTCTGATGCTATTGTGTGTTTATATTCATGTCAAATTGTTTAAATGCAAATTCTTGATTTTAAAATGAATGAATTTCATTTCAAGAATATAGTTTATGTTTACACTTTTATATTATTAGTATTAACATAATCCGTAATCTTAATTTGTAACATGTGTGAATTTTCGTTTCAGGGGTAAAATGGATATTTTGTGTGAAAGTTGTAATGGAGCCGACTTAATTGGTGGATTCATGACCACATTTGGTGGTTGTATAGGGTGGACATCGGTCAGTTTGGGCTGGATTTGGACTCAATATGTCAAACCATGCAAAACCATGGATTCAAACACTAGGCCCAATTCCGACCAAAGTTGTAATCGGTTTGATCGGATTCGGTTTAATCGGTTTATCGGTTAAAATGGATCGGTTTATTCGGTTAATTAATATTAAATTGTCATAAAAAAATTTAATTATATTTTAATTTTTTTAATTAAAACAATATTAAATAATAAATTTAAAGCAATAATAAAAATAATAAATGACCCAATTTAACACTATTTTACATTCTAATTTACACTGTCTTCCAAATAAACTATGATCAAATTGTAAATTTCAACAGAGTCTGGTATTTGCTGCAGCAAGTAGCTTACAACACATTCTATCAATATATTAAAGTCATCCAACTTTAAAGCTTCAAACTTGATTGTGCATGACTCTCTCTCAGCTGCATCTGCTTCTATATACTCATCCATGAATATCTTGTACTAAATCAGATTGAATAACTTCCAAATATCTTGTCTCGAATTCCCATGTTTTTCTTTGAATTGTACTTTGTGTACTAACCCGGAGAGAGTGCTGAGTCTTACTGAAAACAAGCTAACAAACTAGAATGGATTCCAAGCCTTGACTTTTTTTGTAGGAACAGGGTCACTACGAATTGGAGAAGTATGAGAAGGCTTCAAATATTATATCAAAATAATACATTCAATTTTGGACATAAAGTCTATAAGGTAGTTTTTGTAGATGCCAACATTAAAAGAAAGCTTAAAATACACTATGAATACTTAAATTACATTCATCCTTCATATATAAATTAACATTAAAAGCCAACATGATGACACAACCAACACTAATTATAATTTTTGTTCACCATCATATTTCCAGCACTTAAACACCCACTGTAAGCTGCAAGAGAAGAGAAGTGTTCCACTGTAAGCTGCAAGAGAAGAGAAGTGTTATTTTAGAAATAATATATTTCAAAGCTTTTGCTTCTAAACAAAATTATGCATGACTTTTCAAGTAAATTTTTTGCATACCAGAATGGGAGCTGTTGTTCCAAGGATGGAGCAATGAACTCTAGCTGTTCGGTGCCTGAATCTGCCAAAATACTCGAACCCTTGGAAAAATGAAGACAAAAAGGAATTATAAACTTTAACAAAGGAGCTCAATTATCCGCAATAGTTTGAGTTTCCTTTTTCTGTAAAGTAATTGCTCAGACAGTAAATTCAAAAAATAATAAAAGGTAGCAAAAGCAAGTTAACACAACATTGTAATAGAACTCACCATTCTCATGGCATCCCCAAAACTTCTTTGAGAAACAACTGCTCTAATAATGCCGTCATATGTATGACTGGACGACTTCAAACCAAGATTTTGCATCTGAATAGAGAATGGCCCTTCAATATGTTAGAATACAGTAATCTTATGTTGTTGTATATTAATGAAATTCAGTTATACATTAAATAATGCATGAAATACATTTATACTAAACATTAAGGAGAATATAATAAGACATGGCTTCATTGTTATTCACACATCATTTAGAATCAATCAGTAGAAGCCTTCAATAATGAAAATCTTAGAGGTCTGATTTCTGAACATTTGAATTGTGATATAATAATGCCATCATATGTATGACTGGACGACTTCAAACCAAGATTTTGCATCTGAATAGAGAATGGCCCTTCAATATGTTAGAATACAGTAATCTTATGTTGTTGTATATTAATGAAATTCAGTTATACATTAAATAATGCATGAAATACATTTATACTAAACATTAAGGAGAATATAATAAGACATGGCTTCATTGTTATTCACACATCATTTAGAATCAATCAGTAGAAGCCTTCAATAATGAAAATCTTAGAGGTCTGATTTCTGAACATTTGAATTGTGATATAATAACAGTGTAGATGTAGAGAAATCTCTCTTGATTACAATACTCGGAAAAGCAAACCATCAATTCTGCAGATCCAGTATAACATAGAGTACAACAAATAACATTTAACAGTTTAGTCGGATGTCTACCTGTAACATAAGCTTCCAAGCAAGCATATAGTTTTTTCTTTTGCACACCCATGTATTATATCATTAAAAGACCACCTAAGAACCTTCATAAGCAGTGAGTGCTTTTGTCCATTCAGCCCATTTACATCAGTATTCTTGGCTTTCTTATCATCCATACAAATAAATTTATGCTCCTTACTTGCAGAAATAGTGTCTAGTAAATGCAAACTAGGAGAGAGTATACAAGAGCTATGTTGTCTGCTCTTCCACAGGTCCAATATGGTTGATCCTAGCCCGTCATTTGCAGGAACAAGAATGTCCAATCTAGTAGAATACAACTTCCCATAAACTGTTCTAGCAATAGAAATGTTTTCCCTTGTGGCTAATGCCACCAACTGTTGTAGTGTTCTATTCGCAGATTTTAGATCTCCCAACCTTGTAAATGACCAAATAAATTTACGCAGAGCAATAAAAGGTAGCAAAAGCAAGTTAACACAACATTGTAATAGAACTCACCATTCTCATGGTATCCCCAAAACTTCTTTGAAAAACTTCTCTGGACACTTTTGATTCCAACTGAATATATAGGCGCGATGGAAGCTAAAAATAACAACAATCATGTGTTCAGGAATTAAAACAAAATTAAAATGATTGGAACCATACATTTCACAAACAAAATTAAAACAAGGAGGAATTAAAACAAAATGAATAAAGAGTTACCAAAAATTAACTTGTATCATTTTCAAATGGATCCAGTGCTGTGCGGGAATTGGTGTGCGAGACTGATATAGGTCAGTTGTGTCGTTCAGACTTCAAAAAGTCGAGTCATTCACGACTCCAAAAAAGTGGTTGCACATAAAAATATAAAAAATATTCAGTTTATGGCTTAGAAAACAATTAGTATATAACTTTTAATTTTTTCATACCTAAAAGCTAATTAAATCGGGCCAGCCTGCCCAGGAGCAGCTGCTCCAACAACACAAGAAACTTGAAATTCTACAACCATATAAGAAAATTGTAATGAGATGATGCTTAACTTTATCAAATAATTTTTAAAAAGGACAAAAGGATTAACTATGTACCTGAAACTATTGAATCAGTTATGTCATATTCTTCAAGTAAATCAAGGACTTTTGGATCGTTCTCGTCCGAAGGCATCAACCAATTTTGAGAACAAATAAGCGCCTCAACCATTGCTGGACTCAAAGAGCTCCTATACATGTCTAAAATCCTTCCACCCGTGCTAAAAGCACTTTCAGATGCTACACTTGAAACAGGTGTTGCCAAAACATCCCTAACCAAAGTAGCTAATATAGGATAACGAGTTGAATTCTCCTTCCACCATTTAAGAATGTTAAAATTTTCAGCATCAACCCAACATGGATCACCTAAGTACTTCTCTAGTTCATTTTTATTATCAAAAATGACTTTATCCTTCAAGTGTTGTTTAAATGCATCAGCCCTTGTAAAAAGTGTAGGTTTTCTAGCTTGGATACTTGTTTCTCCAAGAGAAGTACTCTCGGATGGTGCATCTAAGAGGGCAGCCTCAACATTCTTACTGTGCTCAGATTTATACCAATTGTATAGTGTAAATAGACTTTTCTTGACACACTCAATACTTTTCTTAGCAATTGGACTACCATCCCCATGCATGTCATTGAAAGACCACTCAACATAACTGAACTTAAACCTAGGGTCAAATATCACTCCAAAATATAGGAAATGATTCACTTTTTCAACATTCCCCCAATATTTATCAAATTTGGTCTTCATATTTGAAACCATTGGAGCCACATAGGTATTCATGTTCAAGGAAGCTTCTTGAAGCTTACACAAAATTTCAGACAAATTATGAAAGGCAGAATGTAACGACACTTCTTGCGAAGATGAAAACAATTTGGTTGCATCATAGAATGTTTTCAAAAAAATCACAAAAGCCCTAGATTTTTCCCAATCAATAGAACAAGGAGGACCCGAGAGGTTAAAAAATTCCATGTACCCAGGATCCTCATCCTCTAACTTCTCAAATGCTGCCTAAAACTTCTCAGCAACATCCAACATCAAATATGTGGAATTCCATCGTGTGGAAACATCAAGGCCAAGTTTTCTTTTACATGTTATCCCTACAATTTCAATACACTCCTTAAACTTTAAATCTCGTTGTGGTGAGGACCTCACAAACCTAACAGCTTCGCGAACACTTTCAATAGCCAATTCATGATCTTTTTGCCCATCTCTCACTACTAAGTTTAAGATATGGGCAGCACACCTCATATGAAAAAAACTCCCATCACCAACTAAAGAATTCTTGCTTTTAAGTCTTTTTCCCAAATAAGAAACGGCCACATCATTACATGTTGCATTATCAAGGGTAATTGTTGACACTTTTCTAAGCCCCCATTCATTCAAAACATCCTCCACTTTCTTACCAATGGTGTCACCCTTGTGATTTGGAACTAAAATAAAACTGATAATCTTTTTATGATAGTTCCATTCATTGTCAATGAAGTGTGCAGTTATGGCCATGTAACTAAGATTTTGAATTGAAGTCCAACAATCAGTGGTTAGTGCAACCCTAGGACAATCAGATTTAAAGAAGGCTTTAAGTTTCAACTTTTCAGCTAGGTAAAGTTGAAAACAATCCCTAGCAACAATCCTCCTTGAAGGGATGGTCATTTGTGGTTGTAGTTGTTTGCATAGTCTCTTAAAACCCTCACCTTCTACCACTCTAAATGAATGCTCATCAAGAAGTACAAAGGAAGTAATAGCCTTCCTACATGCTTGAGCATTGAACCTTTGGCTTGTTGAACCTAAAAAACCACCTTCACCACTTACAAGGTTTCTTTGAGTGGGATCTTTCTGTAAAAGGTTAGGGTTTTTGTGACACACTTTTGAGTGAGCTAACATGTTAGATGTTCCATGTGTTTTAGGGTCGCATCGATATCTTTTGTGACAATGTTTACACGCAGCTATTGGTTCAGGTTCATCCGGAAAAATGTTAAAGTCTAACCAAACGGTGGAAGTTTTCCTAGATCCACTAGCATTAACTAGTCTTTTTTTTCCTAGAAGGGGGGAGAGGAGGAAGTGCGGTTTCTACTGCTTATGTAGGTTCAACATAGGGAACAGGATGTTCCATCACTGAAAATATTTTGGTCAACAAAAACACTTAGTCCTATATGAATAATCTAAAACGGTTACTTACATGAACAATTTAAATGTTAGACTAAAAAAGATCATGTAAGACAAGACAATACCTGCAACTGCAAGACAAGACCATGCATCAGGATACTTAACATACACTAAAGGTTGACAATACCTGCAAGACAAGACCATGCATCAGGATACTACATAGATCAATGCAACTACTGGATTTTCTCAAAGGGAGAAAATGGCTATCATACTCAAGCAACATGCCTAATCTGTGAAAAAAGTTAAATAAAAAATGATGTAATCCAATCGACATTTAACATGTAAAATCTTTTATATACCTTTAATACATTATAATGTAAAAATAAAAGATAATATAAAAAAACAGTGTGACCCATGTCAAATAATTGAAAAGTACCACGCGAAGAAACTGATGGGTCATGTTTTCCTTTACTTTCATTTAACCGTCCACCACAACAGATTTGGTAGTTCTCTCTACTTTTCCTTCCTTCTCAAACAACCACCAATTCACACACTAACTCACCACTCACCATATATAAACCCCACAACCCACAATTCTAAAACACAAAAAAATGTTAACTCTGAAAGGAGGAAGCAGACCATATATAAACCCCTTACCCTTTTAAAGAAATAACAATCACGAATAATAGTCGATCAATTTCCTATGAAGAAATAGAACATAAAAAGAAAAGAATGTGATATGAGATTCAACAATATTTTTACATAATTATTATCAACTAAACTATAATTAAGTACATTACAAAGACTAGAAATGAGTAAAAAAAAACATATTACAAGTAAAACATAATTAACTAGTATATAACCTCCCTCATAATAGGAATATAATTATTTATATAACATGATGTGAAAAATGTAATGTTTAACTCACTTAGTATTATTGGTGCAACTGTTATGGCTTCAACAGCTGCTTCTTTTTTGTCTTCAAAACAAACTTATTATTACTGTAAAGTGAAAAAAAATCAAATATTGGGTTAACCATTTCTCTATAGCATTAGTTTGGGTTCAAATAGCATCAGGAAACACCTTTACTTTTCCTCTATACTCACACTCTTTGAAATCTGTTTTGGGTTTCAATCAAAGGCAAGTTACACTTCTTGGTGTTGCTAATGATATTGGTGAAAACGTTGGTTTGCTTCCTGGTATCGCTTGCAATACGTTTCTGCCTTGGCTTATACTCTCTGTTGGTGCTTTTGCTTCTTTTCTTGGCTATGGTATTCTCTGGCTTGCTGTTAGCCAAACAGTTACCAATCTTCCTTATTTGCTGGTATGGATCAACTCCTAGATCTATTTTCACTTATGCATAAACAGGCCCTTAGTCTTCAGTTTGTAAAAGTTCTTACAAAATGCATTGGATTATTTTGCAGGTCAGTGTGTGTGGTTCTGCTGCATATGTCTCCCAATCAGCATGGATACAATCAGGAACTATAGAAGAAAATATACTCTTTAGAAGTATAAAAGACAAAGCAAAAGCTATAGTAACACTTTTAGATCAGAGTGTAGGGTCATGCCTTGTATTAGCATTTGGGTATACTTTGCTCCAGGATCCATTCAGCTGGAGAAACATAATGGGTATTCTGTTAGCCATGGTTGGGATGATTCTATATTCTTACTATTGTAAAATGTACTGGACATGTATCAGACAGATGACTAAAATTTCTGCAGTGTTTGGTACTTAACTCTGTCCAAAACCTATTGGAATATTGCTTTTTCCTTAACCTTCTTCCCAATACTTACCACTTTCATTCACACTACCCTTTCTAAGGTATAATTAATTAACTTACATGAGTCTTGAGAATAAGCAAAAATCCATTGAAGCTGCTGCACTAGGGTTAAAACAGGGGTGAATCGGTCGGTTTGTGTTCTACTTTCTATAGGGTTAAAACC